TTTTAATTTATTTGAAAATAAAATTATTTGACTTGCAAAAAATTGTTAAAATAACATATTTATATATTCATATCAATTTTTAGGAATAAAATAATTTTATTTACAAACGAATTAAAAAATATGGAAATGTTTTAAATTAAATCTTCATAACGTTGTATAATAATGCATTCATTGTAAATGAGGAAGTTTTTAATTGAATTCATGTTATTAAAAATAACTATTTACATACCCAATATTTTGATTGGCAATAGAACAGTAATCATTTAAGTTCTTTTTTTAGTTATAAAGGGAGTAAAATTATCATTAAAAAGGTTTAATCAATAATGTGGGAATATCGCCGCCGACAGTGACGATCTTTTTAGGGGGTTAGGCATAAATTTTTGAGGGGGTTTGCATCCAGTGAATATCCTGTCATGTAGACGTTGGACGAAACTAAGGCTTTACGTTATGATTTTCATTTAGCTTATAGTTCAGTTTTTTGTTAGTGACTGGTAAAACTGATAGATAAATTAATAAAAACTAGGGCTAAGCCCAGCCGCCTTCGGCCGGGGTGGGGAGTGTAGCTTGGGAATCACAAATTGCGCGGAATCAGAAATTCTCATGAAACACTAATAGTGGGGGTAACAAATGGCGAAGGATCACAAATCATGAGATATCAGAGTTTAAAAACATAAATATAATAAAGGTATGGGGTTGAGGAGGGATATTAAATAAAATATTATTCATTTATGTATTGTCGTAATATAAATGAATATATATTCAATAGCTAATTTTATTGAGCAGGAACAATGGAAATAAAAATTATACAAATATTTACTATATGCAAAATTATAAGTATATAAGCGAATAAAGATGAAGGGAGAACCTTTTTGACAATTATTATATAATGTAGGATCCTTAAGAATATAATTTGTGTAAAATATTTAAAAACATAACGATTTTCCTTTTTTGATTTGGAATTTTCCTTTTTTTGATTGGACCTTATCTTTTTTTGATTGGACCTTATCTTTTTTTGATTGGATCTTTTCCTTCTTTTTTTGATAGAACCTTTTCCTTCTTTTTTTGATAGAACCTTTACTTTTTTTGATCAAACTTTTAATGGGAAATTAGCGGTGCTTGAAAAAAATGGCAAGTTAGAATCAGTTGGAATTAGACTGTTTGTAAGAATAAAAACTCTAATGCCATAGGAAGGGGGAAATGGAAAAGAAAAATAGGAAGAAAAGGAGAAATAGAAAGCAGCAGGAGAAGTGAAAGGAATGGGAAAAGGGAAAGAAAAACGAGAGATGAAGAAAATAGGAAAGAGAAAGGAAGAAGACTGAGAAAGGAAAAGGGAAAAATTGAAGAGAAAAAGGAAAGGAAAATAAAAAGGATTAGGAAAGAAGGAAATGAAAAGGATGAAGAAAAAGGTAAAGAAGGGTTTAAAAGCAAAGGAAAAGAAAGAGAAAAATAAAATAGTAAAGGAAAGAAGAAAGGAAGGTTTTGGAAAACTGTGTTTAAGGTTTAAAAAATGTTAAAAAATAAACTTGAAATTTTCATGAGGTAAATAAAATACTAATATACAAGAGATAAATATTTATATTAATTTTAACCTTTTGCTAATATTTAGAATAGAAAAAACCTATTTTAAATAGAATACTTTGCAATTAACAATTCCTGAATCCCTTTAATATTTTTCAAAAATTCTTGCTACGTGGGAGGGGGCGTGGGTGGGTTTTTAATTCTCACATTCCTCCAGCCGCCTGAACCCTTTTACATTTTTTCAAAAAAATTAGCTACAAATGGGGGGATTTCTCACCCTCTTCCGCCTCCCCCCACTCCCCCCGACGCGCCTGTTTGTTTTCTCTAGATTTATTTTTATATTTAATCATATTCTAGTAAAGTTTTTTTATAATCTTGAAGTGTTGTTAAACGACTCGATTTGAGCCGATTTTTAAAAACGGCTAACTAAATATTTTAACTAGGAAATTATTGCCTAAGTCTTAAGATTTCGCTTATAGATATCCTAACCATTGTGCTATCAATGACCAAAATTTTCAGGCTTGAGTATTATTTTCCTGGATAAAATATTGAGTTAGCCGTTTTTAAAAATGAGCTAAAATCGAGCCGTTTAACAACAGTAATTCCCCTTCCCCCCTCCTTTGTCTAATAACGAATAACCTCATTATTAGTAATGTAAAGAAACTAAAATTTTTAAAAAACTATCAAACATAAAAAAAAATACCAATTTGAAAAAACAAAAATTATCAATATACTATTAAAAATAATTTGTTTTTATAATCAATCCTACACAATCTATTAAAAAATGTTATCTACCAACATTTTATGGCATTTATTACATAAAAAATTTAAAATTTTGTTAAAAATCTTATAAGATGCTTTGGTTATTGCTTAAGTCGAGGGGAATATTATTTTTTTTTTATTTTATTTTTTTTGTTATTTTTTTATGTTATTTTTTTTATGTTTTTTTTAAATGTTATTTTAAATTAATATAGTATTATTTGGTGATAATTTTTTTTGTGATAAATTTTTAAAATATTGTTGCATATTTTTATTATTTAGTGATAATTTATTTTTGTGATAATTTTTTTTTGTGATAAATTTTTAAAATAATGTAGCATATTTTTATTATTTGGTGATAAATTTTTAAATTAATATGTATTTTTTCTTTTAAGATATTTTAAAATATTTTTTTCTTTTTTAAAAATATTTCTTAATTCCTAGGGAGGGGAGGTAGGTAAAAGAATTGTGTCTACATATTTTTTTAAAAAATTGTTTTTTTAAAGAAATAATTCGTAGTTCCGATTATTATTAGATTATGTATATATATAATATGATTCCTTCCATACTAACTTAATATTATTTCCGTTTTTTTCTTTTAAAATGAATATTTTTACACTAGATGTGTTTACTAATACTGTTGAAACAACTTATCAATTTTGCCTTAATAATCAATTAATCCCTTTAAGAATAGAGCATACTTGTTGCAATTCCATGATGAGGGTAGAAAAAAATAAGAATAGTTTGCGATATCGATGCAATAGATGTCGTAGATCATATTCGATATGGAAAGGTAATATTAATTTTATATCATAAATGACAAATTTTTAGATTCTATTTTTGAAGGGATTCAGGACGTTGGGAAATTTTTAAGACTAGTATACCTGTATATAAGTAGTAATTATTTAAAAAATATTAAAGAACAAAATTATTTTTAGGCCGTTATAAAATTTTAAGTGCTTCGAAGGAATTGGATTATCATAGGAATGCAATTTCTGGATGGTAATTTAAAGTAAAATATGGTTTTTATATTTAATTTATATAGGTTTAAAAAATTTGCAAGGTATGTGGGTTCCATATAGCTTCGAATCATACAAAGATCGGTGGGCCTGGCAGAGTTATCGAAATAGACGAAACTCATGTGTGGAAGCGTAAATATAATCGTGGCCGGCATTTGATTTCCGAGGCTATATGGATCATCGGTGGCATATGTCGCGAGACGGATGAAATAATTCTAAGTGCAAAAACAACGAGGGATCAAGATACACTGCGTGTGGTTAAAGATAATGTTATGCAAGATTCCACGATAATGACTGACTCATGGTTAGGGTATGTAAATATATTTTTCTGTAAATCAAAAGTAGTAATATATTTAAATCTATTTATCTTAGATATAATCGGTTGGATCAAACAAATTATTTCCATTATAGGGTCAATCATTTCCGAAACTTCGTTGACCCAAATGATAGATCCATTCACACCCAAAAAGTCGAAAGACTGTGGCGGGATCTTAAGGAGAACTATAAAAGACATGGGAATCGAGAGAATATTTACTTGAATATAGATATTTTAGAAAACATAAATTATTAAATCGCTTTGATCTTTTTATTCTATTTATAAATGACTGTATACATTTAATACAATTTTTCAATTTAATGAATAAAATTGACTCGTTTATTACTATATTTCGATATTTTTATTTTGTATAAATTTCAATAATATATTTCAATTTATTTCGAATTAACCCTTCCCAACAAAGGTTAAAAAAAATCACTTAGAATTTAAAGATGGGGTCTATTTTACCCCTAATAAATACAAAATTTAAGATTTTATGCTAATTTTCCTAAAATTGCTTAGATTATCAGACTATATTTCTTAATGAATAAAATTGACTCATCACAATTCTTCTACCCTCCTCCCCTCCCTAGGAATTAAGAAATATTTTTAAAAAAGAAAAAAATATTTTAAAATATCTTAAAAGAAAAAATACATATTAATTTAAAAATTTATCACCAAATAATAAAAATCGACTTAAATTTATGCTTTTGAATTGGCCACCCCTAAATCTTATTTCACCCTCTGGTCGTTATCCAAAGTTGATGTAAATGCAATACCAATATCCTATTTTAGCCTTACTGCGTCATACGCCAAAAAGTTACTCTTTATATTGGAAATATTAATTAATTTTTTTAAAAGACGAAATGCCTCGAGGTAAATAAAATCTTTATTCACGCATAGTCATTCTTACTTTATTTATTTTTAGAACCGTTTTCTTTTCAGACGTTTTTTTTAATAAAAACTATTTATTTATTTATTTATTATTTTTTCTTTAAAATCGGAAATGAACCAAAATATAAAATAAAATATTTGAAAAATAAATAAATACAAATAAATTATCTTACAAAATAATAACCAAAATTATTATTAATATTTTATAAATAAAGTTTAAATATTATTTATTTTTTATAAAATTGATTTTTCAAAATATAATATTCATTTTTGCATAGTGATTGTTTTGTGACCTTTTTTAAAAATCATTGAATAATAAAAAAATAATAATTATGTTTCTAAATAAAATATTTCATAATTAATTTTTAATTTGCTAAGATTTAAAAAGAATAAATAATTTTTATTATATTTTTTTTGAAAACGATTTTTATTTATTTTTTTATAATTTATAATCTAATAACTAAGGAAAGAACATCTTTTTATTATAATAATAATATCATTTATCATAGTTTAGAATTAGATAATTATTCTAAAATAGCATTCAGATAAAAAAGATAATATATACATCATTATTAAAATTATGACAAAAAATTCGTTGGACAATCTAAAGAGAGGACATTGGTCTGGGAAATTGGATTTTATTCTTTCATGCATAGGATTCGCTATTGGATTGGGTAACATCTGGCGCTTTCCTTACATATGTTATAATAATGGAGGAGGTAAAATAATATACTGTAATTTTATAATATACTTGTTTTATTGTTTCATACAAAGATATAAGCAAACTTTTCCATCTTTTTTTTCTCGATATAATAAACATTCTTTTATATATATATACATGTCTTAAATATCTGAATCAATTAATCTTAAATTAAAAGCGCTTCTAAGATAAAAACATGACATGTCAGACAATATAATAATTTTGTTCCAAAAAGATAACATATTTATCTATTTTATGTAAGCTGACATATTTATCTATTCTATGTAAGCTCCAAAAAGACAACTTTTTATTATTATATTTCAGCTGTTTTTTATATTCTCCTTTCGTATTTAAAATATCAGTCGGTGCTAATATTTATTTTTTGTAATTATTCCATCACATAATAATATAATTTGAATTTTCATTATCAACACAAAATTGACCTTAGTGTTTTCTTAAAATAATATTTAACCTTTTTATTTTAAACTAAAAATTTTTTATCATTAACTATCATCAGTGGCATATCCAGGATTTTCCTATGGGGGGGGTATGTCCCCAAGCTATTCTATTAAATTAATATTATTTTTAGCTTATTTATTAATTCGTGCTTATGGATATTAAAAGTTATATATAACCCAATTTTTTAATATTTTAAGTTAGGTATATTATATTTAATAGATTTTTTAAAATATAAAATTGAAATAAAGTTTAGTGTCATTTTTTTAAAATAAAATTTACTTTAAAAACAGCTTCAGCTTATATGTATAATAAAAAATTTTTATTGAAAATACTATTTGTAGTGTGTATTAGATATTGACTAGAAAATAATTTAAAAATAAGTTTTTATAACTTCTTATTAAATACAATATTATGCAAAAAATTTATTAACTATAATTGTAATGATTTTTAATTTTCGTGGGAAATTTGGCAATTTATCAAGAATTTTATTTATCTCTGGAACCAAATCTCTGAATATTTAACTGAGATACTAGCCTATTTAGCCAAGATTCGGAAGTAGTATTTCGTAAATATGTTTTCAACTTTCGCAAGTTGGAAAAGGTCATTTCATTTGTACATATTGTAATAGGAAAATATGCAAGAATATAAAACAACTTCAAAATATTTGGAAATTGAGCCAAGGTGTCCTTGCACCAATTTATTGCATCAATAGCATGCCCAGGTAAAATAACTAAACTTATGAAATATTTATACCACAATTCAAATTCACTGGTTAAATTGATTTCAGTATCAATATCATATGAATAAAATTTTGCAAAATATTTTATTTTACCAATAGTAGTATCAGAAAATGAAGGGTCTAAAATTTGAAGCCGTATTTTTTTTTGCAATAAAAAGTATCTAAGAATGTAGTGAAAATGGATATTTTATAATATTCTTCAGTTGAGTCAACATTTATATTACATTTCAATAATTGCCTAGTTGCTAGACAAGGTTTAATTTAGCCTTCGATTCAACGTCTAGATAAATATTATGAAAATATTCATCTACATTCATTCTTATTGTATTTACCTGTTCATATACATTCTTCGCCAAATCAATAACCTGAACCAAATCTAAATTTGGTTTTTGTAAATTTCTACAAAGCAGTGAGCTATAAGAAAATAATTTATTAATGCAACTAGTAGCACAGATAAACTCAGATTAATCTATTGAATTTAATAATGATATTCGCTTCTGAAGATACATTATTATCTTGCCATAATTTCATTTAAAGATATTCTGATAATCTCTTCCAGTTCTGCCTAAACTGAATTATGACGTATGGTTAGCACATTTTTTTAAATTTTTGATAAGGGGTTTCTGGTTCATTCATTGATATAGTCCGATTTAAAACATCTGTTGCTTCGGATATTGAAAAAATCTTAAATTTTGGATATAATAGCTAAAAATATATATTTATTTTATTTTATAAATTAAAACACCCATGGCATTGCTTATAGAAGGTAGTAGTGATCTGCATCGGGCCTAATTTTTCAAGCCTGTCCCGACCTGAAATTTTTTTGAAGATGTTTTGCTGGCCCAGCCCGAACCCGAAATTTTTTATAAAAAAATTTACCAGCTTGGCCCAGCTCAAATTTATTTAAATATAGAAATTAATTTTTATAATTACTCAAAATAAAAGACATATGTTATATGTCGTTTAGTTTCAATAAATAAATTAAAATATTTTTTTAGATATATTTAAAAAAAATTCCAAGATCCAACCCAATTCGGCCCTATTTTTTTAAAAAATATTAGACCCGGCCCGAACCCGATTATTTTAAATATTAGGCCCAGCCCAAAGCCCGTTCAGGCCTGGTACAGGCCGGGCCTAACTTTCCAGATTTCTAGAAGGTAGAGCACATGAATCTGATAATTCAACGAATGAGATGCAAAGTGAACATATATAGCAGATGGATATTTTTTTAAAATATGTGCTTTGACACCATTTAAATAGCCACTCATAGCTGGGGCACCATCATAACCTTGTCCTCGCATTAAATTTATATTTAACAAAATAGTATGGGTGTGGGCCTCCCCTCATATCCACATTTGGCATAAACTGTAAAAATTCTTCTAATATTTGTATATCACTTATGATTTATAATTTTTTTTATTATCAATAAAATTATAAACTTGCCATCCAGGTTTATAGCGCACATATAAAGACGGCTATTGTTACTTGCAACTATTGTTGCATTTAAAAAATTATAAAAAAAGTAAAATTTTCATTTTTTAAAGAACGCATGTTGTTTTTTTTACCCAATATTTATTTATTTCAAAATAATTTTTTTTTTTATTTATAAATAAATATATTTTTTTTCATAAATAAAAATTATTTTATTAAAAATTAGCTCTCCATTTTTTTTTATAATTAATTAAAGTCAGTATTTTTTTATTAAATTTTCTTTTTTAAGCTATAATTTCGAATAATAGATAACAGCAGAAGAATTCCATGAAAATGACCAAAAAACAACTCAAAACTTATCTTAAGTCTTTTTATACTATAGGCATTACAATAAACTGGATAAATTGAGACTCTTCATAAGCAAATATTTTTATTAAGCTATAAATAAGTTTTTTTCCTAATTAATTAAAATTTTCATGTTTAATCTAATTTTCACAATATATATTTAGTCTACACTAAAAATAGATAATAGCAGAAGAATTCCATGAAAATGACCAAATAAACAACTCAAAACTTAGATAAATAGATTATATCTTAATTCTTTTTAGGCATTACAATAAACTGGATAAATTGAGACTCTTCATAAGAATATTTTTATTAAACTATAAATTATAAATATGTTTTTTTTCTAATTAATTAAATTTTTCATGTTTAATCTAATTTTCACAATATATATATTTAGTCTACACTAAAAATAGATAACAGCAGAATAATTCCATGAAAATGACCAAAAAAACAAAATAGATTATATCTTAATTCTTTTTATACTATAGGTATTACAATAAACTGGATAAATTGAGACTCTTCATAAGCAAATATTTTTATTAAGCTATAAATTATAAATATGTTTTTTTCCTAATTAATTAAATTTTTCATGTTTAATCTAATTTTCACAATAAATATTTAGTCTACACTAAAAATAGATAATAGCAGAAGAATTCCATGAAAATGACCAAAAAAACAACTCAAAACTTAGATAAATAGATTATATCTTAATTCTTTTTATACTATAAGCATTACAATAAACTGGATAAATTGAGACTCTTTTTAAGCAAATATTTATTTCTTTTTCATAACATTTGTATTTTAAACATGATTACACTATTTAAATATATTATTATAATAAAAATAGATACAATTATAATAATTTTGAATGCAATTTGTGAAATGACAAGGTTTTAGGTAATTGTAATTGATCCTGTATGGGTAGTTCTATATTCTCTTTGGATAATTGTAGATTTTCTTTGGGTAGTTCTAGATTCTCTTTGGATAATTGTAGATTTTCTTGATTCGTGATATCCTGCATTTTAGAAAGATCGATTTCATTATCTATTTCTTTATTTATAGCTTTTTTTTTGTTAAAAATAGTGTACTACTATTTTTTCTTTTTTCTATTTATTTTTTCAGGCATTTTTAAATTTTTAACTAATTCTAAGGAATTAGAAGATGATGGTAAACTATTAATATTCTCTTTGTTTTCCAATGTATTTATTCTTTTTTTGCTTTTAAGATATTCTAGGTTACATACCTTTTCACATGTCTCTTTTAATTCCTGATAGCATATAATCATCAGGTCATTTGGTAGCTCCTTAATAAAGTTGCCAATATTATTTTGAAAATATTCTTGTGTCATTTTATATATTTCTATATCTGTTAATTCACATTTATTTTTAGTATTTTTTGAAATAATTTCTATATCAATATTATCATCCCTTTGATTCGATCATAGGAGGGACTAATACCATAAAAAAATATTCGGCTTAAAAAAATATATTTTTTACCTGCAATAATATCTATTTCACAATTTCCATTAGGGTTTAATTCGATCATATTTGACTAATTAATTATAAAAAAAAATGGAGAGCTAATTTTTAATAAAATAATTTTTATTTATGAAAAAAAATATATTTATTTATAAATAAAAAAAAAATTATTTTGAAATAAATTATTGTTAATGGTAAAAAAACACAACATGCGTTCTTTAAAAAATGAAAATTTTACTTTTTTTATAATTTTTTAAATGCAACAATAGTTGCAAGTAACAATAGCCTATAAAACATTTAATCTATTCCAGCGACATCTGTTATCTTATTAGTCAAGAACGAAAAGTAGGGTGATTTGTTGATATTTGTAATTCAATACTTATTCATTGCAGGTATTGATGATTTCATTCTGAATTATTGGGCTCAAATAGGTGTGCTTTTTAGGAGCATTTAATAAATTATCTTTAAGTATAGGATCTGCAAGAGATCTATTTCGAAAAATAGCCCTAAGGTTTCCGTCATCATTGTTATTATCATTATCATTATCAAATATTCAACTGCTATCTC